CAACGTCCCCGGTACCAGTTTCCTCGGCCAGAGCCATGACACGAAGCAGATTCTGGGCAAGACTTGTGAGAGTAGTGGTGAACTCCTCCAAGACATCCCAAATTTCGACACTACCACACGACTCAATCTCGCCGAGACCCTTCTTGCAAGCGTTGACAACCTCATGGATCTTGTTGATGGGCTCCTGGTGTAGCCTCTGGATCAGACTCTCGCTCTCATCAAGCAAAGAATCAGAGCCATTGGCGCCAGCGGCTTGCATATAGCGTTTGCAACCGTCTTTTAGGTCGGAAAAGGCCCTTCTCAATAGCGTTTGCGTCTTGGCTACGGTTTCCTTCAACTCTGAGGCGTCTCCGGTCGCGTCACTTGCAACAACATCTGATAGGATGGCCATCACGCCGTCCAGACCATCGGCGAATACGAGCAAGGCATCCTCGTACACATAAACGGGCACAGATCCGCGGCTCGCGTCAAAGGCCGTGTTGTTGGTGAGGGCGTTTTGCATCCTCACCAGCGCATCCGTCAGTTTCGCGGCCGTGATCTGAAGCGTGCTGAGGTCTCTGGGACATTTGGCCGGAGGTAGACGCCCAATGGCGTACTGCTGCAGATAGCCCCTGATTTCCTGAGCGTGTGGCCCGCCGTGCGTCTCGGCGAAGCGCACATCTGCGATGGTACCCGCTGACTCGAGGAGAGTCTTTGGCCCGCCTGGATGAATGGTGAGGAAGTGCGTCAGGTCGTAGACTGTGCCGTCGATGGCGGCCCAGCTTGAGGTGATTGAGTTGTGGGCTGCAAGCTGGGAGGGGGTGATGATGGGTAGGGAGGAGGTGGTGGTGGTAGTGGAAGAAGATGGTGCATGTGGCTTGGATGGCTTCTTCACGGCGGTAAAGAGATCCTGGTGGATTCTGTCCCAGTGCGCGGGAGGTGATGGAATATCTGTGTAGTTGTTGGCGTCGAAACAGTTTACACCTTGGTCTTCTTGCTGCGGTTGGCCTAGCTCGAGACTGCTTGTCACCGTGGCTCCAAAGTCGGAGCTGCCACAGACGAAGACGTGGCCGCCCTCATCCTTGACGAGATGGTAAATGGAATCCCGGTGCTCTACCAAATGATGCGTCAAGCGTCGTTCTCCTTCAGGAAGCTGAGTCCGAATCCCACCGCGGATTCTGAAGTGGTGTGTCTCTTGACTGAGGGCCAGGGTGATAGTCAACGGCAAGATCCTGGTGAGATGTTCCAGGCTGTCGAGTGAGCAGGGGACATGGCGGCGTGTTTTAGCTGCGATTACGAGGAGCAGCTCGCCAACGTCGCCGGTGCTATCCCGACGCTGCTGAGCCCATGCCGCCCGTTCGTGAAGGAAGCCTACTAAGGGACCGATACCGCTGCCTTGACCAACCAGAACCAAAGGCACGGAAAGGTCCTGTGGCTGGCGAAAACGCAGACTGGGCCACGGGCGAAGACGCAAATGTGTGCCTTCTGCGGCGTTGCTCAAGAATGAGGAGACGAGGCCCTCGGGTGAGTGTTGACTAACTGTCAGAGTGATGGTCATGCCTCCCTTCCCAGTAGAATCTTCCGCCACACGAGCGATAGAGTAGAACCTCGGCTCAGCTTCATCGTCATCACTATCTTCGACGCTCTCATCTGATGGCACGTCATGATCTTCTGGAGGGGTAGAAGCCCTCAACCGTCGCTGATACGCAGAAGTCCGATTGAGCTTTCTCCTCTTCCTCGGCGGCCAGACCTGAACTCGATCGCCTGCCTCGAGCGGCAACTTGGCATCCAGCTTCACTTCCACCACCGTGCTGCCCTCGTACACCGTCTGCGACTGAATGCGCGCATCCTGCCACAGAGGCCGGCCGCCAAGTCGCGATGCCATGCCAGCCTTCATCTGCATGCTGAGCATAGCCTCCGGCCGCATATTTGGCTTTCCTTTTCCTTTCTCTGCTGACGACGAGCCGGCGTGCTTGCACTGGTCGGTGCTCTTGACGCCACTGCTCGTCGAGTGACGCCCCGTATTCAGCGACACGCCCGTGACGCCAATGGCCTTGACGCGGTGCCGCTCGAGGAACCAGACGTACATCTGCAGAAGTCCGTCCCACGCCGCCTCGAGATGGCGGTATTGCGACTGCTCTTCTGAAGACACACCCTGCGGAGCACGAGCAGTACACGCAGCGACGTAGTCTCTCACGCTCGCGGCTCTGTCGCCAAGCGCATCCAGAAAGGCGCGGATATTGGCCGGTAGTGTGGCCTTGCGGTCGCTCTGCATCTTGGTCAAGTCTCCCTTGACGTCCTGGCGGCCGATGAAGACGTCGAGCGCGTGGAAGAGCGGCGTGTCAGCACCGCTGTTGCCCAGTTCGCCGGGCGTCACGGCACGGCCCATTGCTGGGTACGTCTTGATCCAGACGACAGGGTCAAAGGTTGCCGCGTCACGGAGGGTCATGGCCTCGAAGACGTTAGCGCATTGAACAATGGTAGCCGCCAGGCTTTCGAGGCAGTGCGTGACTTGGTTTGGCTGGTCGGCTAGCACACCGCTCTGCGCGAAGGCCATGGCTGAGAGGGCGGGTGCGAAGATGCCCTCCATTGTGCCTTGGAGACCTGAGGACAAACGCTCCTCTGGGAGACCAAAGTAGGCGCTGCTTAGGTTGAAAGCAGCGTTCCCCATGGCGTTGTTGAGGACGTCGTCGGCGGGCACCTGTGGCAAGTTAGCTCCTCTAGTTCTTAAAGATATCACTTCGTGAACTTACCCGTCCTGTCAGCTTCCTCCCCAATGCCGTGCAAACTCTCCCCCATGGATCGAGAACATGGCGCGGCACTTGTAATCGTCCTTCACACTCCTTGCTCTTACCCTGCTCCTCGCCAAACATGTAAGCGTGGGCCAGCGCGCTCAAAACTAGTGCCGCTCGCGCCAAATGACGCTGTTCCAAGGTATCCCACGCGTCTCTACCATCTCCAGTTGCGCGCTCGCGTAGAGCGTCAACAGCATGACGCACTCGTCGTGCTCGAAGTAAGCGCGGCAAGTTTCCATGAACCACCTCCCACGCCTTCAAGGACGCAGGCAAGCGTTGGACCTGGCCCAAGCTCCTTGGAGAATTACGAATACTAGGGTTGATGACGTTGGTTGGGGGCATTGCTTGACATCCAAGGAAGCCCCTGGTGCTGGTGAAGCATCCATCGAGGCCCGTGCCGAAACGGAGTGTTCGTGTTCGTGTCTCCGTTCCCGCCTCCGCTCCGAAGGCCTCGGGGTCCCGGAACTTGAATTCTGTCGACGATGACGTACGCCCGGCCAGCGCCGTTGCCAGGGAGGCCTGGGCGAGGAGGAAGCTGGCCTTGGAGATGGGACAGTCGATTAATGTTGCGTACGAGCCGCTTGTGGCGTGTTGTTGTTTTTTGGCCGGAGTTTCCGGCGGCGTGATGATGCCTCCAGCTGAGAATGCTTGGGGTACGTTGAGAGAGATTGAAGAATTTTTGTACTTGATAACATCTTGTTGTGATTTGTTCTGAAAAGAAATTTGTAAAGGTGAAGTGGGAGCCGAGAGTGGCGTTGAAGGTCTTTGATAGACAGACATGTCAAATGACTTGATGAAAGAAGTATTAATGAACAAAATAATAGGTAAGTAGTGTTATTACAACAAAGATGAAGAGAAAGGCGAATTCACTGGTTCCAGATCAGTGATCACCAAGTGTGAGGCAAAATACGTGGACTTCGTGATTCATTAAGCATATAATTCAAAGTTGTTGGTTCTGTCGATCCTCCTGAATGATCAGAATAGGCAAGTGAGTAAATATATGTAAATACATGCCGACGGCACCGCAATAGATAGAAAGAGAGAGAGAGAGATTCTCCCTCGATCTTGTTACGTATTGCCTATTCCGGGCAACAGCGCTTGGAAGCTTGTAGCATACAATCCATGGCCTCAACTCGGAAATAACCTCGAAGGTATCTTCACAACCTGGCTCTAATTCCGAAAGTATTTCGTATTCAGATGACATCTCCCTCCGCCTCCCCATACCGAACCGGCGTTTATCCAAGAGACGGCATTTCGTAGTAATGACCCAGACCCAAGCAAGGCAGACATACGGCATGATGGATCGGCAGTGCAAAGCAGAACATTTTGTTGTTCGGCAGTGCCCCGACGGTGTGGTTGACAACCGTCCGATCATGCCAGCTATACTAGCCATTTTGGGTAGCAAGGACGATTACACACCGTGCACGACCGGGCATTCGGTGCCTGATTAGGTCAAATATGGTTCTCTAGAAATACGAATACACGCTCGTCCAAGCGCAGGATGACGGGGCATCTTGGGCTTTGGCGCAACCTTTTCGCCAACATTAAAGATGATAGAGTTTGAACCTAGGAAAGTTATTCTCCTGTGATAATGTCCGATTCCGTCATATGGGAAATTATGCGAGAAACCTTCCAGCCGTTCAAAGCTCTCCCTGCTCTCTTGATCGACTTCAGAAGTTCAGAAGAACCTAGCTACTTGCCAGCGGAACTCATACCGAACCTCCCCGTCCAGCTCTGAGATACAAGCTGTCGGCCCTTCAGGCACACGGCTACGTCAAAACGCCTCTGCCCTGCCCTGCCCCTTGCTTCGGGTCCCTCGGACGTTGCGAATGCGAAAATAACGACACCCAGTACACTTTCGGCTTCGGGGTTGAATCTGTCGATTATATGAGTTGCCCGTTGGGGAAATCCTTTTTGGGATACTCGCTTTCCACCTTGCTGTGGTCTTAGTAACAACCCAAGCCATATCAGCTTCAGTTGTCATTCTCACCCCTCATTGTTGAAGAGTCTGGACTCGGACAGTGACGACAACCTCTCTTGAGTCTTGATCATTTCTCCTCAGATCGGACCTCTATTCCGGAGATTCGGAGAAACCCTACTACTACTTGTACGATCCGGAACGCAGGATAGTCAAAAAGCAAAAAAAAAAAAAAAAAGAGGTTGATCCAGCACGTCCCTCGGAACTTCGGTCTCGAACTCCCCGCTCACTAACAACTCGAGCTCATCATGTTCCTCGACATCATCCCCTTCACCGCTCACCTGATCAACCTGCCATTCCTCCAGAGACTCCTCTGGACTTTCGGCCCGGCCATTCTCGGACTTTTCGTCCTACGCACCATCTACTACCTGACTCTTCATCCCCTGGCGGGATACCCGGGCCCCTTACTCGCGCGCATCACTACCATCCCATGGCTCTGGCACCGCGCCAACGGTACCAACCACAGCTGGCCTCTGCTCCTCCACAAACAGTACGGCCACGTTGTGCGCATCGGCCCGAATGAGCTGAGCTACAGCCATCCTGATGCCTGGCACGACATCTACGCCAAGGCGGGCGGAGGTGGCGATATGCCAAAGGACTATGTCGGACTGGGGCCGGACATGGCGGCGCCCGAGAAGGGCATCGTGCGGGCCGAGAACGATGCCGACCATCAGCGGCAGCGACGTCTATTCTCGCACGCCTTTTCCGATCGTGCCGTGCTCAAGCAGGAGAGTCTCGTACAGGACCATGTGCGCAACTTGATGGGCAAGCTGGCCGATGAGAACGCGGAGCCTGCTTTAGCTTCTGCTTCTTCTGCCCATGCTGATGGCCGTGTCGACCTCATGACATGGTTGAGCTACCTCGCCTTTGACATTATGGGCGACCTCATGTACGGCGAGCCGCTTGGCATGCTCGAGAGTGACCAGTCGGCGCGCCAGTGGGTTCGCGACACGTACTCAACCATCAAGACAGTCACGCTCGGCATGACTATGATGGGCTGGCACTCACCTCTAGGGCCCTTGCTCCTGAAGCTCATCTGGGGCGGTAGCGGCGAGCGCCGCGCCCGACACAACCGCTTCTCAACGGACCGTGTCGACAAGCGCCTGGACCGCGGTGACGACTCTGGCAGCGACATCTGGTCCATGATTATGCAGAACAGCGGCAGCGACAAGAAGCCAGGCATCTCGCGCGCTGAGATGTACTCCAACGCTGCGACTTTCATGATTGGCGGCACTGAGACCACCACAGCCGCCACCTCGGCCCTGACTTATCTGCTTCTCACACACCCGTCTAAGATGGCCACGTTGCGCGCGGAGCTTGATGCCGTCATTGATGATCCGCAGGAGGACTTGACTTTTACTCGATTGCGGAAGCTGCCCTACCTCAACGCGTGTATCGAGGAGGCCATGCGGGTGTACCCGCCGGCGCCGACGCCGATGCCGCGGATGGTCCCTCCCGGAGGCCGTATCGTCTTCGGCCGCCATGTTCCAGCGGGTACGCGCGTGGACATCCCACTATATGCGATTGCGCATCATCCGGACAACTTTGTTGATCCTGAGGAGTTCGTGCCTGAGCGATGGTTGGAGGGCAGCGACCGGCCGGCGAAATATGCTGGTGATCGGAGGGATTGTGTCAAGGTATTTTCAGCGGGGCCGCGAGACTGTATTGGCAAGAAGTGAGTTCCATCCTCTTCTCTGATTTCTTTCCTCATCCCGGTTTCCAGATTGAAGCCGTTGACTAATCTTGCGCACAGCCTTGCGTACCCCGAGATGAGGCTTATTATTGCTAGTCTACTGTACAGATTTGACCTTGAACTGGCTGACCCTAATTTTGACTGGTTAGACCAAAAGAGCTATGGCATTTGGGATAAGCACCCTCTCTGGGTCAAGTTGGTGCCGCGCAAACATGAACAGGCCTTGTAAGATTCAATTTCATCTATGAGACGGTATTATTATTGAATGCTCTAAATCATCTTAACCCTGTACTTGAACTACCTAGTCTGTGATATGAAATAAACTGTTCATTTGCTTTCTATTCTGGACACATATTGTGTTGTGACTAACTCGCATGCTCCACTATTTAGTCTACCACACGTGTTTGAATGCTGTTCTATTTAACATTCTCCGGATCTTGGGGTCAAATCAAATGGCTTTAGAAAGGAACTATGCCATCATTGTACGATAAAGGTTGACTAGATTCCTCTACAAAGTCGTCTAATGAAGCTCAATCCCAAAACCTTGGCCCAAAATAGGCGCTGAACCCCACGCCCTTGCCAGAAGAGGAAATCGAAGCCATGGTATGCAGGCCAGTCTCTCTATTCTTGCCGCTATTTAGGTTGAAGAGAAACATGAGTCAGTACTAAGCTCATACGCTCATTAAGCGCGTCGATGAAGGGACAAGGGATGACACTTACAAGGCGTCTCGAACAGCAGCTCCAAAGTCGTACTTCCCCGACATCATCCCCTGCGTCTGAAGGATTCGCTCGTAGCGCTCAACGATTCCGGCCTCGTCACGGGAGTACTGCCAGATCGGCACATACATCTTGACCTGCGGGACCGCCTTGCCTGGCACAATTTCAAAGGCGAAGCAGAGCCCGCAGTACTTGCTATTCGGATCACTGAGCGGCTTTTCCAGACTTTCCATCTCGGCTGGGGCAATGCCTTCCATTTCCATAAGTAAAGGCCAAACTTGTGGGAGGAAGTCGGCCGAGGAAGCAGGAAGGCGGCCGCCTAGTGTGAAGACGTCACGGGCTGAGGCAAGTGAGTTGGCGTATGTGTGTACGTAGACCTTAAAGCGAGGCTTCTTGAAGAGCGCCACGCAGTCGATGGCGAGAAAGTAGATGTTGATATTGTCCTCGCCTTGCGAGACGAGGAACGTTTTGAGTAATTCCCACGCAGCCAACATCGCTTCATCACCCGCGGCAAGGCGTGTCGCGACGGACTCGGTGATGTCCACCAGCGACCGGTTCGTTGCGAGGACTTTGAGTTGCGGGAAAAGGTACGCTTTCATGCTGATGGTCGTGTTCTCCTCAGACTCGAGGTCGAATCCAGCATAACAAATTTGTCGGGGCAGCGCACCACCAGGCTTCATTCTGATCAAGCCCGCCTCCTCCTCCGTAGTAAGAAAGACAGAATCAAGGAAGGCATCCAACCACGTGCGATCGGCGTTGCAAGCAGATGCCAGACCCTCCAGCTTCTGACGCAGTCCTCTCTGCCCTAGGGGGTCATCGCCCGCGGCCCCAGGGCTTGGATCCACGAGCGGCTGCACCGTGAACCGTACCTTGGCCTCTCTGTGAGATGAGAACGCGACGCTTGCTTCATAAGGAGACTGATTGTGAGTAAGAATGTAGTTCGCTTTGTCAGGAGAAGCAGGCGGCTGCTTCAGGCGGGGGTCCACGGCTTCGCGCACAAAGGCGAGATGGGCGTCTTGGATGTGGGCTGGGTAGGAGCCCGTCCAGCTTAGGAGCGAGGAAAGGGTATTGTAGAGGGTGGGGAGCCATGAGGAGACAAGAGGACCTCCTTTCGAAATGGAAGTATAACTGGAGGAGGGAGCGTCAAATTCGTTGTAGATGTTTCGCTTGGCAGTACCAATAGCTTGATAGGCCATCTTTGTGTGATATTTTTCCTCTTGAGGCTATTGAGGTCAAAAATTGATATCCTCACTGTGTTTTGGCGTTTATTCGTAATCACGTTGACTTTTTCCGCTTTGATGGTTATTTCTGTCTTTTGGCTGCCTCGAGTCACCAAAGCTCCTACGTTGGAGTTTACTTGAGTCACTGTTTGTTGGGCCTGTATGTGTCGAATGCTTAAGTTGACAATAGGTTGCCTTTTTAGGAATCTCAATCGGTCGTTACAGTTGAGATAAACCAACGCTCTACTGAAGCTAAGTCAATTTCGGAAAGCGAATGCGAAAGCGTACGGTATAAGGGTACGGCCAAACTCATTACTGATCAAGGTGTGTTTGGGTCCCTGAGGTTAAGGGGCAAGGGCCTGGTCTAGACATGGAATTCAGAACTGGATGATGGGCATCTCGATATGACGTGATTTGTGACAGGGCTGGACTTGAAGTTTAAATTACATGTTTCATGCGGAACACGCGGAAGGTAAGATTCTTGTTCGGGCGGGCGGGCCATCTCGACGAACTGGTGGGATGTTCACTTAATTATAGTTTAGGATGTATCTGGTTTGTGAGGTTGACGGGCGTGACGGGTCCACGGGCCCTAACCTTGATGCATGTGAGAACGCCTTCCTCATGCAAGGCGGGGATCTCCCCGTATAGTACGCCGCTTACAAGTATGCCTTGAACAATCGGCCCCGACGGCGTCGGAGTCCGTTCTCTAGAACGCCTTGGCCGCCGGCGCGGACTGAAAGAGAAAATCTGCCCCGCGCGGCTCTATCAACAACTTGACATGAAGCATAGAAGCTTTGAAGCAATATGCTGTTTTCATCTACCTTTGAAATGTAGAAACAATAATCTTGACAAGGCCAAGGCGTAATGATGAAGACTAGAACACTGCAATGCCTTATTCGTGTGAACACCGTGTAGAAACAGTAAGTCTAATAGACTTTACGTTCGGACAATCGGACCATATGGCAACCACCGCCGTCATCTCTAATCTCGCATGGTAGCCGAGCTCTTACGATAGCCGACCGGGCACGAATACGAAGCTTTACAGACTGACTCAAAGTGGTACCTCACTCTCAGGATAGCCATTTTCGCTCGCTATAATACTCATAGTCCAGAGCCCCCTGCAATGAAATCACTGATGCCCGGGACTATTACTCATATTCCTATAAAAAAAACGTCATTTACATTGATCACAACACAAGCAATACCGAGCCCGAAATCCGTTGGACTTCCTATCATTACCATCCCTGAGCTATATCACCTCAACTTACAAAGCCAATTGCAAGTAGTATCCCGGCTTTAAGAGGGATTCAGGTGAAAAAGCCCACAGAAAAGTGAGACGCAATACCAATACGTCAACAAGTACCAGGGGTAAAAGACGTTCGTCACTCTTAGTCAACATGGCCATCGGCATCGCTGAGCAAAATGAACAAATCACATACCTCCGCTCGGTTCTAGCCATCTTAACCACCTCAACCAATGACCTCATCGCCGAGCTGTCTTCCTCTTCGGCCGGTAAGGCTACAGTCAGCAACGGAGCAAAGACAAACCCTGATGTTCGAATCCCGAAAACCCCCCAAGGCTGAAGAGGCCCGTAAACGCGTCATCGCTGCCACGACATCGCTCGAGGCGGCAATCTTGACGCCCCAGTGGCGTCTCGGCCATCTGGCCCACAGCTATTACATTTCTCGCGCGCTTCACATGGTCGTGGAGTGGGAGATACCCCAGCTCCTGGCCGCTAATGGCCCTATGACGCTTGACGCTCTCGCTTCCAAGACGGGCATCGCCGATGCGAGTAAGCTGGGCTTCGTTATGCGGACTCTCTGCGCCCACCACATCTTTGCCGAGACCTCCCATGATGTCTTTGCCAATGACGAAGCATCGACAGCCCTCGCTACAGATGAACGCCTCGCCAACTCTGTCCGCTTCGCCTCCTTTCTCTTTCCAACAGCCGATGTGCTTCCTGGACTGCTCAAGGATCCCGTCCTCTGCGCCAGCTACGAGCCGCGAGACTCAGCTTTTGCCAAGAGCATCGGTAAGGGCATGGGACAGTTCGAGTATCTCAACGCGCACCCCGAGTGGCGCGACTGTTTCGACTTTTGGCTCGCTTCGCTGGGCGAGTACCTCCACGGCCTGACCGATGTGCGCGGGTACCCCTGGGAAACCACCCTCCGGAACGGCGCCGTCATCGTCGACGTTGGTGGCGGACTCGGTAGCTCGATCCAATCCTTGCGTACAAATTTCCCCCATCACAAGAACGACTTTGTCGGCATCGTCCAGGACCAGCCCGGCATGATCGCGCACGCCACAGCACATTGGAATAAGACAGATCCGCAGGCGTTGACCTCGGGCGTGGTCAAGCTCACCCCCCATGACTTCTTCAATGAGAACCCGGTTAAGGGAGCCGACGTGTACTGGTTCCGGTCCGTCATTGTCGACTGGCAGGATAAGGACTTGACCACCATGTTCACGCACATCAGGAATGCTATGGCTCCTGGGAAGTCGCGTCTGCTTATTGGCGAGTACATACCACACCCGACGTGCGGCGACGCTCTGCTCCCTGATGCGCCTGCCCCGTTGTTGAAGAATTACGGGGCTTTCCAGTCCATGGGGCTCATCGGAGGGTTCGTTCTGACTGCTAGCCCCAATGGTCGACAGAGGACTTTCCAAGACTTGGATCGTGTTGTCAAGGCGGCTGGATTGAAGATTGTCAAGGTGTGGATCTGCCGTGGTTTGGGTAATGTGATTGAATGTCGGTTGAAGGAGGATCGTGCAACTGGCACCAATGGCAGTCACTAGTAAGGTATATTAGGCATTTTGGTACCAGGTCTGTTGAATGAATTTAATTACTTTTTCGTTTTGGAAACATGTTCAGCGACGAGCTCTTCATAAGTAGTTACCTTCGACGTCAAACGTGCGAACATCTCCCTGCATTGAGCATGGATGCGGCGTGCGGTAATGTTCTATCTGGCATCTCTTTTGCTCTCAAAGTCCGAATACCGTTGCCTAATGAGATTCAATGTTGAGCTATGTATCCTGACGATGAGTGGACAAGTGGTGAAATTGTATCAAGTAGGTGTAAGTAGGTGTACGCAATTTGCATCGATTCTAGTCGAACCCAAGTGTGAATCGCCATGTCAGGACTTGCCATTCAAGATGATTGAGAATTAATAACTTATTATCACTCCAATCAAGCACGTTGACTAACCTGATCCCACTAAATCCAATATTGGGGAGTCACAGGCGACCTTTGCATGCTGAAATCACGAATATCAACATCCCGGTTCCCCTCTTCGCCTTCACTCAAGTACCCCAAATCTGCCTCCTTGCCAATTATTTGAGCATCGTCCGCATTCTCCAAATCATCATCCCAATATTTCTTTCCACCATTTCCAAGCCCTTGCAAGCCGCCGTGAATAGACGACCGAAGCGATCCAAGAACCTTGCCGGCCCGCATGGCCTGCGACGACCTTTCTGCTTGCTTTTCAGACTCCTCCATAGGAAATTTGGGCGGAGGGTCTGTATTGCTGCCGTCTTGAGGTGACGGAAGTGTTGATGGCGATGTCTTGCCTTTATCTTTCTTAGGCTTGGGCACACGGATGTAGTATAACCCGAAAGCAGCAATAGCGTTGAAGAAGACGTACGCAAACAAGATGCCCAAGTCGCGCCAGCGGTTGCTGAACTCGACATGCACCCCTGCCAAGACCTGATTTGTATTGTTCGTTGTGCAATACTTGCAGTTGTCCAAGACAGTCGTATCAGCGAGATATCCGCCCGCCTGGGCAATGAAAGGCTGCAAGTACTCGCCGCACGTCTGTCCAAGAGGCGGATTCACGAGCAAGAACTCGTTATCGGCGCATTGGATCTTGGCGTTCGCAAGCCCTGTGCCGAGCAATCCCTCAACGAGGTAGGTGAAGGGATTGACGCGGTACACCCACACCCAAAACTTGGGCGGCGTCCCGAGGATGCCGTTAAAGATGAACATCATGACAAACAAGAGATTGCCAACGCCTGCAGCCTGGTCGGCGAGGTCGAAGGCGGCCCCAATCATGTAGGCGAATGTGCTAGCCTGCAGGAAGAAGACGAGCATGAACAAGACCGATAGTCCGCCACGAGCTGCGGTATCGTTTGTCTCTGCCGCGTTACGCTGTAGCCCGACGAGATAGTACCAGGCCACAAATGCTGGTGGGGCCATGAGCGCGTTGTAGGCCATCTCAACCACCATTTGCGCGCCCATGAAGGCGACCCACGAGTATGTGCGTGAAGGCTGCTCACGGCCCTCATAGAGTGTACGCTGTGACACAAATATGGGAACAATTTGTTGTGTCAAGTTGAGGTGCGTTGTGAGGAACATGAAGATGGCTATGGTTTGGATGGTGACGCCCGTCTGCGTGTTGGGTAGGTTGAGCAGAGAGAGACCGATGAAAAGAGCCGAGCCAAAGGTCAAGAGTAACTTTGCGTACACGTAACTTGGGGTGCGCCAATAGTGCTTGGCCAAACGCCTGGTCACCTCGAAGAACTGCGTGATTACAGGAGCGGCGAAGGGGGGATCGTTATGCAGCTGCTGTTGATGTGCTGCGTCTTGGTGTTGTGTTTCTTTGAGTTTTGCCAGATGAGCCTTGACCTCTTCATACTCAGTGCTTTTTCGCCATACTTCGGGCCAGTTTATGTCGCTTTTCCCGCTTCCGCTGGCTTTGACTTGTTCAAGGATGTACTCGGCCGGATTCTTCCCCTTCTTGGGTCGCGGTCCGCCATTGCGGACGAAGTAGTCAACGAGGACCTTGGCGTTGCGCCCGATTTGGCCAAAGTAGACAGTCCTTCCGCCTCGAGCAAGAAGAAGAAGTCTGTCGAACCTCTCAAAGAGCTGTCATCATGTTAGTAGTGTACTAGCCACTGGAAAAGGGGAACAGAAGAGGACTTACAGTCGCTGAAGGCTGGTGGATTGTGCACAAGATAGCCTGCCCGTTCTGTCTCAACGT